GACTTTGAGCAGGAGGTGCAGTGAGACACAGCTGGCCCTGAGCAGGATGCACACGAACTGTGGCAGGCTGGAAGAACAACAGAGGCATAGTTCAGGAGGTGAGAGCAAAAATAACCAACCTGGACCTCTTGTAACCTATAACCTTTCAGGTCCAATTTCATCAAAGTCGGTTAGCAAAAATGCAACTTGTCTTGTTTGAGTACTTTAACACATCTCAAGTACTGGTACTGTGGTCGTTTTGCTACTTCAGAATGTCCTCTCAGCACTCAACTGCAATCATTAGCTACCACAATGCATGGACTTTCTTATGAGCTGGTTAGGTAAAAAAGTGCCTGCCAAAAACATAAATGCAAATGAACTGCACACCAGAGGATTAGGCTTGACTGTATTAATATATCATTTTAAACTCAAAATCATGCATCAAACTAACATCCAGACATGACAATTTTCTAACCCATGTGGGTTTGCTGAGAAAACGTAGGTAAGACATTTCAAGGGACTGACTCCAAATGACAGGGAAACTTTCCAAAGAATCTTCTCTGGCAAAGAAAATGGGTTTCAGAATGAATGGTTTTTTAATTCTCTAGAAAAGAGATTGATGAGTTTCTGGTTGCCAGTAAACCTACACGGAGGTGTTGAAAAACATATTAAATGAGCAAAAGAAAACTTTTCACCTTGGCAATGGCCGTGGTCATCCTTGTAATACTGTGGTGGACATTGTGGCACACATTTCCCCTGATGCAGTGCATGTTCAGGGGGGCAGCTCATGCAAGTGGGGTTGTCAGGTTGACAGGTTGCACAGGAAGGGTCACAAGCTTCAAAAGGATATAAAAAATATGTTATAAAACATTTTCATATATAGATATATAAAGAAGACAACTAACATTTGGTTTAAAGAACTATTAAAACCTCATGACTAAAACATCACAATCAAAATGAGAAACAATCACATTCAAAAAAGAACAAATGAATGCAGAAAAGCCTCAGGACTTTCAAAGTCAGCTAGCCGATGCAAAATTTAAAGTGCTCAAACCACCAGCTATTTTTACCCAAAGTCAGAAACACAAAAAAGCTCCCAGCAACACAATTCTCTCTTATGTTAAATAGACAAGCTGGATCTGTGGAGCTTAAGTTCTTTCACTGTAAAATAGACATTTAGAGTGTCATTCTGCATTTGCTGTAGTGTTGTCAAGGTGAAGCTTAAATGTATTCGAGGTGACATTTTTGAAGCAGGCTTTTGTCTCTACTTGCCAAGATATTATCATCAGCAGTGGTAAGACAACGAATAAGGCCATTGACAATGCTATGACAATCTAACTAGTAAATGCTACATCCATCCAATACAAAATCAAAATAGTTACTATTTATATTATATAAATATATATATATTATAAATAATATAAAAAAGTATTGAGTGCACTGTAAGGCTGGAATACACTATACACCTTTTACAATTTGAACAGATTTTAACACAATAGGGATCAAACTTGCCACCGAGAAAAACAGTGCATCACTAAACGACTGTGGGTCACATACACTACGGGACATTCGCAATATTCTGCACACAACAAACACACGCACAAACATATGCGTTGTTTATAGGAGACGTACGACAAATAAAAACAATATGTGTTCCGTGCTTGATATCCTCTGACTGGATGGAGTCATAATATGAAGCTAAAAAACAAAGTCTGTGCCCATCATACACTGGCAATTTTCTGTAAAATCTATCAACTCCATCTGCCCAAAACAAGCGATGACTACTTCAGACTGCAAATCTGGACGAAATTTGGGCAAAACTGGGCAAAATGTAATGCTTTCCAGCTTAGTTGTGAAAAAAACACAAAAGATTAATTTCAAACAAACATTTTACTCAAACATTGTTTTAAAACTTTTAAGCAAATCTTTGTTCAATTAAAATATTTGTTAAAATAAAATAAATAAATAAATTTTATTACTGACCAACAAACAAACCACACAGAGTAACTAAGATGTGAATTCTGCCCATCATACCATAACAGCTGCCTTGATTAGCATAAAAGCCTGGACCACAATCCAAAACACAGAATCCATCCTTCAGTAAGTGGGAGGGGTCTGAGCATG